AAGGCACTTGTTACTAGAAGCGATGCACTTGTTACTAGTAGCTTATTGTTTCTAATTACCGATCTACCAAACGTGCTGCTACATGTTCGTGGTGATTGCGTTCAACAGGTTTGCATGCGGATTCCAGCTCCGCACGGGTTGTTGCACGTGCAGGTGGGTGGGCAAACGCGCTCGGTCAATTTGGGCGCTGGGACACATCCAATTTAGAGTGTGGATTCAATGAGATTCGGGTTTCTCTTGCCAGGGTTTTTTCGGCGGGAGGTTCAATTGTGCTCAGATAACACCGCACCCAGCAGGGTCCAAAAGTAAGCATGCAAATTCTCTGGGGTCCGCTCTTTCATTTAAAGTTCCTTCCTTCTCTCCCTCTTTCGCTTCCTTGCGTTTTGCGTCCTTTGATGCTTGGGCCATGGCTGAGAATACCTTCTGTTCCTTTCTCTTCTGCTTCGTTTGATGTGTCCCTGGACACGTACGCGGTAAATGGATGTAAGTGGAACCCTGCTTCTGTTCTCTTTTCCTTTTTGACTTTACCACTGTTCTCTTCTCTCTTTTCCGGGACGATGTGTTCTTTCCGTTTTTTTCTGGTCCTTCCGTTCTTTCCTGCGCGTGCTCTCTCTCTCTCTCTCTCACTCACTCCCGCCCTCACTCACTCACTCAGGTTCCACCCTTAACCTTAGTCGTGTTTTACTGCATTTTCTTGCAAGGGGGTAGAGGAACCCCATAGAGCTGTGCCCAACGAAGCTCTCTATGGTGACCTCAGGATATGCAGCCTGATCAGCTGCATGTACGTGCTTGAATGCCGAAACTCAATTCTCCATGGCCCCTTGTAAGTTGAACAATTTGCCAGCCGCCGTTGCGCCGGGTATTTCACTGCAGTCACGTTTGCTTTGACTTGTGAGTTGGACTTTGCACTTTTGAACTTTACGAACTCGGTGCACCTTTGGGCCTTTGAACCCCGGACCTTGACGCGTCAGGGTGAGCAGTCCGCAGCAGACCAGAGCAGCCCGCCATTTTGGCATGGCAAGGGTAGACCACAGCGGTCGTTGGGACCGTCCCCGCCTCAAATGCACACGCAGCACTCACTCCTACTTCTCTTGTCATCCATTCCCCCAAAAGACTTTTCCTCTTTTTTCATGTTTTTCCCAACATTGACGCGTGGGGGCTTTGGCTTCCGCTCCTCCTCTCCTCCTCCCCCCGCCTCAAGCCCACCAACCACCAACCACCAACCTGGTGCTCTGCAAGGGGTTCGGCCGGTGGGTTTTGCGTGGCAGGCACGGTACTTGGTGCTCTCCAAGGGGTCGGACGCACGCGCTGGTGTTGCTTGGTCGTGGCAGGCGCGGTACTTGGTGGGTTGGACGGACGCGCTGGCGTCGCTTGGTCGCCAGCCCTGCCGGTGTGGCAGGCGCGGGATGTATGCCCTGGTGTCGCTTGCCAATGTGATTTGCACGGCAGGCGCGGGCAGTACTTGGTGCTCTCCAAGGGGTCTGATGTACGCCTTGGCGTCGCTTGGTCGCCGCAGCCTTGCCACTTGCATGGCAGGCGCAGGACTTGGTCGTTGGATGTACGCACTGGCGTCCATCACGACTTGGTGTTGAGCGCAGCCGTGGTTATGGAGAAGGTTTTCCCTGAAACGCTCACTGACTCTACTTTGCGGGAGAACAAGTTCCAGCAATTCGTGGAATATGGAGCGCCGACACATTCGACCCAACCTGCGACTTCAGCCCACTGTCGCTCTGATGACCCCACCGGACAACGAGTTCAACCTGCCACGTCGCCAGCGCCGCTGCGCGAGGTCACAGTGGACACTCATCTCGGCCTTGTGTCAGTGGGCAACGTGGATGCCAATTTCCTTCGTGAATTGGTGCGCTTCAATACTGTGAAGTTGCCTGATGACGAAGCAGTGCAGCAAGACAATTCGGCCACATCGGCCATGCAAGTGAAGAGATCTTGACCGCCTCCTCTCCAAAGGAAGCGATGCCCGGCTTCGATAGTGAATTGGATGCCCCGGGTCGCGCCAGAGAAGACCAACCACCAACCACCAACCAACCACCACCACCAACCACCAACCACCAACCACCAACCACCCACCCCACCACCCACCCCGCCACCCACCCACCCACCCACCCACCCAACCAACCAACCAACCACCACCAACCACCACCAACCACCAGCCACCAATTGTCCCCTCCTGTGTCTGGTGAAGTTGTTAACATGTGGTGAAGTTGTTAACTATGTCTGGTCATCGCATCTTTTTCATTTTTGCGCACACATTGGTCGGGCCCTGAGCGTACGCGTGCACTCGTACATGTAAACCAGGTTTTAGGTCGCTAAGGAGATCTGGCCCATCGGTTGTCCCCAGGCACCTGGGTTGTTTTCATCGCAGCCACATACCTTTGTCTTGTCTTGCCCTCTTCTCATGCCTTCTCCTTCTTGTCCGTTTTGCGCTCACATACATTTGAGTCTTGTTTTCAGGCTAAATCCGGGGGTGCCAGGGACCATGCAAGTCTGGCACTAACAAAGACACTTGCATTGGTCTGTGAAATCAATCTGAGACGCTGGATTGACGCACCTGCTTTGAGAGAAACCTACGTAATGGGCAAGCTGTTCCACTTCTGTGTTTTGCAGGAATCGTCTAGCGCTGTAAAGGGCTAATGCACCGGCGAGTCAACTTGGATCCTATCGTGGGCCTTGGAGGCCTTTGCAGGTTACACATGCACACCCTAGTTTCTTAGGCTTTTCACTTAGGCAGGCTTGTGGCAACCGCAACCAAGTCCGCACGCATTTCCATAAGTGCGTCTGGCTTCATGCCAGCCCGGGGCGAGCCCGACGAGCGCCCCTGTTTTCCCAACGTATCCCTGCCCGGATACAGAGCAGCTCGCAGCGAGTGTAGGAGGCTTACGCCAAAATTGCTTGTCAAGACCTGACGAAGTATTGAGCACAAGTAGGCAGCTTTCGAGCAAGCCATTAGGTGACCGGAGCGGTCTGAGCAGCCTCAGTTTGGCGCGGCGTACATGGCTGGAGCGGCCGGGACCTTAATCCCTTTCCTCCCCTTTCCCTCCCCTTCTTCCTTTTTTGCTTGTTGGGGCGTTGCTGGACGTTGTTTTGTAGCTGGGAACACCAGTCTCCTTCCCCTTCTTCCCTCCCCTTTCTCGTTCTCTTTCTCTCTCCTTTTCTCTTTCTTTCCTTCCCCTTTCTTTCTTGCTTGGGTGTCCCTGGGCGCTTTCGTCACAGCTGGGAACCCTTCTCTTCTTCACTCGGTGTGTCCTTGGACGCTTGCGTCGTAGCTGGGTACACCGTCTTTTCTTTTCTTTTCTCTGTCTTTTCTTCTTTCCTCTTTTCTCTCCCTACCTCTCCCTCCCTCGCGCGCGGCGCTCTCACAAACTTACAAACAAACTACGCTTTTACAACAAGTTCTTCAATGAGGTTTGGTTGCTCATCGGTCTGTCCCCTTTCATTTTGGTTCCCTTTCGCTAACAAAGACGCTTGCATTGGTCTGCGAAATCAATCTGGGACGTCGGATTGACGTACCTGCTTTGAGAGAAGCCTACGAAATGGACAAGCTGTTCCACTTCTGTGTTTTGCAGTAATCGTCTAGCGCTGTAAAGGGCTAATGCCTCGGCGAGTCACCTTGGATCTTATCGTGAGCTTTGGAGGCCTTTGCAGGTTACACATAAACACCCTGGTGGTTTCTTAGGCTTTTCACTTAGGCTGGTGTGTGGCAACCGCAACCAAGTCCGTGTGTGTGTGCGCGCGCGTCAACCTTGGCGCCTTTCGGCGCTACAGCATTTTCTTGCAGGGGGGTAGAGGAGGCCCATAGAGCTGTGCCCAACGAAGCTCTATGGTGACCTCGGATACGCAACCTGATCAACTGCGCAAACCTGCTTGAACGCCAAAGCTCATTTCTCCATGGCCCCTTGTAAGTTGAACAATTTGCCAGCCGCCGTTGCTCTCTCACTCTCCTTCCTCTCTCTCTCTCTCTCTCGCTCTCTCTCTCTCTCTCTCTCCTGCCTCTCTCTCTCTCTCTCCTTCCTCTCTCTCTCTCTCTCTCTTCCTCTCTCTCTCTCCTTCCTCTCTCTCTCTCTCTCTCTCTCCTTCCTCTCTCCTTCTCTCTCTCTCTCTCACCCCCTTACACGTCTCAGGATATGGTCACCTAGGTCGCCGTGCGGCATGTGGCATTCAGTTCAGCACGCGAGTTCTTGAGTCTGTGTGTGAAACCCTTCGAGTCACAGGGGTTCCTTTTGAATTTGCTCTTCTTTTAAGAGGGGAGTGGAGCAGGCCTGCAGAGCTCCACTTAACAAAGCTCTCTGCAGCGTTTTGGGGATATCATCACCAAATCAAAGTGGTGAGTCCGGAAGGCGAGGCTTTAGGGCGAGTCTGGCTAGTCTTTTTTTGCATGTTTGAAATTGCTTTGATCATTTTGAATCATGTTTTAAGCATAAAATTGTCACAAATAAGATCTAAAATGATCAGGAATTACTCAAATAAGAGTAGAAATGACCCAAAAGTGATTAGACATGATTTTGAACAAAA